TAGAGATTACGAGAGATTACTTAAAATTCATGTGAGTTCGTAGTAATAACACTAGGTACACGTAGTCATGACACTAGGTACACGTAGTTACTGACAGTTCAAGGCTTATGTTTACACATACTGAAATAATACTACACATCTTGTAGCAAATTCTCTTTCTCAGTGATTGTCTTTCCATGGAATAATATGCCGGCTATATTTCGGCTTTATTAAGAAATGTGGACATTCCCTTAACAATGGGCATTGTCCGGAGCCAATCTGGTGACCCCAATACAGAATCTCGTTGATTTCGTATGGAATGGTCGTTTTGTTTCGTGAATGCATAAAAATTGCATTTCCCATAGTTTCGGTTGTTGGAACGAATATTTTCTAAGTTTTTTACAATGAAATAACGGGGATCTTAAATTTTGAGACTGCAGTTATAATTTCTTGCTTCAAAATTCCACGCTGGATCTTGACGAGTAGTTATCATTTCTTCAAATACTTCCTCATTATTCTAAGATCATCAATGAAATGACCTAAGCTAACGAATATTTTCTATATTCACAGAATTGAAAGAAGCGTTCGACGCCGAAGCTCAGGAAATTCTGAAACCACGTCTATTGTTAACCGCTGCAGTTCCGGTGGGACCAGATAATGTTCGAGGTGGTTACGATGTTCCAGCTGTAGCCAGCTATTTAGATTTCATCAATTTGATGGCATACGATTTTCATGGCAAGTGGGAAAGAGAAACTGGACATAATGCTCCATTATTCGCACCTTCTTCAGATTCTGAATGGCGCAAACAATTATCTGTAGACAATGCTGCGAAACTCTGGGTTAAACTAGGAACCCCCAAAGAGAAATTAGTAGTTGGAATGCCAACCTATGGACGAACATTCACATTAACAAATACCATGAAAACAGGTCCGAACGCGCCAGCATCTGGAGGTGGGAAACAAGGAGAATATACAAAAGAGGGGGGTTTTTTAGCCTACTATGAAATTTGCGAATTGCTTTTGAATGGCGCTATTTACATATGGGATGACGAAATGAAAGTTCCATACTTGATTAATGATGATCAATGGGTTGGATTTGATGACGAAAAATCGATCCGCTATAAAATGAAATGGATTAAAGAAAATGGATACGGAGGAGCTATGGTCTGGACTATTGATATGGATGACTTTAGTGGAAATATCTGTAGTGGAAACGTGAAATACCCATTAATTGGTGCCATAAGGTAAAGTTGAAATACTGTCTTTATGATAAAAATCTATGAGAATAGTTTGAAAATTTTACCCTCGTGGAGGAACCTCTGAACGTGCACCTCGGGTCTGACTGGACCCCTAAATATTTGTATGCATTTGAATGGGAATGAGTCATGCCATCTCATTTTTGACGAAACTGATAGGAGTTAAGTGACATGTGTCTTCCGCGAAGTTGTATGGTAGGTCAAACATTAGGTACATATAGACCTCCGATTGTTTGATGCAATCCGAATGAATTTGAATTTTTGCTAAATTCAATTGTGATTTTACTCGCGAGTGTAAGCCACAATCGATTCTTTGCCTCGGCATCACGAAATTTGTTGTACAAAATCACGTTGGTTTTCACGAATTCGGTAATTTTTTCTCGACACTGCGCCTTCTTGACAGTTCTCATATAAATGAGCCCAGAAGCGCCAACTGGTGCAAGAACATGTAATACAACCGTTGTATACCAATAGTATTAAAAGCTTACACGTTGGGTATACTGTTATTGACTGTTTTGAATAGTAGTTCTTTCACATAAAAACATAAAAATCTGCTTGCATTACACTGATATCTCTCTTATTCCATTGATATTTTTTCCAAAGGAGAAAAAAAAATATTTCAAGCCTCAATTGCACAGCATATCAC